CCCCCCCCCCCAGGTACAGTGACATGTGGCGGTTCGTGAGCCAACGGTTCGTCTACCTGGCTGGGCTCATCGTCTTCCTGCGAGATGGGAGGCTGGTTACGCGTGAGGAGGTGGCTGCTCTCTTAGGAGGTGAGTCCCTCGAGTGGTGGTGTCTGGTCCCTCGTTTGCTTTGCTTTTTGTGTTGACCAGTGGGCAGTGTGTAGCTGACAGGAGTGTGTGCTGTGTTGATTTGTTTGTGTTGACCGGTGGGCAGTGTGTAGCTGACAGGAGTGTGTGCTGTGTTGATTTGTTCATGTTGACCGGTGGGCAGTGTGTAGCTGACAGAAGTGTGTGCTGTGTTGATTTGTTCGTGTTGACCGGTGGGCAGTGTGTAGCTGACAGGAGTGTGTGCTGTGTTGATTTGTTCGTGTTGACCGGTGGGCAGTGTATAGCTGACGTGAATGGTTGGTGGGTGCTCTGGTGTGGTATGCTTCTTCTCTCCTATCATAGATCTATCATCTTCATTTCCCCTCCTTCTTTTTTGTGTTTGTTACTCTCTTCTAATACCTCAAATCTTCGGCACTTATATGACGTACCTTATTGTGTTGCAAGTGCCGTAAAACGCTTACTAAAACAAACAATCGCTTATGTCTGTGGCTGATCTGCTACTTGATGGTCAAGTGTTTGAATGGATTATTGCTGTTGTGGCATCGGTGGCCTAGTGGTTAGGCTACTGGTCTTGTAATCGTGAGGTTGCGGGTTCGGGGTTTAGAGTCGCGGGCCCGACGTTGTGTCCTTGGGAAAAGCACTTAACACAAATTTTCCTCTCTTCACCCAGGTGGGAATGAGTACCCGGCCATAGACAGCGAAAGATCTTGTCAGTATGTTAGTGTTTTAGCGCCTATAAATGGCTGCTTGCACTTTATGCTTCCCAGGAAGTTGAGGCTGTTTCAGAATACTCTCAGATCTGCTGGGGTAATAGTTTAGATTGTGAAGCGCATAGAGCTTGCTGTTGAGCTGGGATTTGCGCGGTACAAATGCTATCTATTATTTTTATTATTATTATTATTATTACATTGAACAAGCCAGTTTGCGTGAAACGGCATGAAACGTTAATAAACCCTATTCGTACGTCGAGTTTTACTATGGTATGCATACGACGTGGGGAACTTTGCCACTACTTTCTAAAGAGGAAATTCACTCGTTAATCCGATCTGTATGCTTTGCATAGCTGTCTGTCAAAATGTTTTTTTGAGAAATACTGAAAGTTTCAAAGAATCTTCCTACTAGAAGTATTCTAAAATGTGAAGAATACAACCCCTGGGGTACAAAATGACCCCAGGGCGTACGGAGAGGGTTAAAATCTTTTGTTTTATATATATAGCGAAGTGCCTAGAGTAGAGCCACCGGGGAGTGGCTGCTATTGAAGTGACCTGTTTGATTACTGTTGGTTATTTCTCCTTTCTCCTCCCTCCCCCCTCCCCCCTTCCTTCTCCAGTGGCGGTGCAAAGAGAGGACGGCTTCCACATAGATCTTGATGACTTTCTCATGGGGCTGCTCAACATGACAAACGAACTTGTAGGTGCACTTG